TGGTGCTTTGTAGAATTTATCCTTTCAAATGATTACACTAATTTCAATATCACACACAGATATAACCCGATTAAACGCAAAAAGCATTTTTCTCAAAGGAGGATTTCAATAACAAGGGTAGAAGGGTATCCAACCCAATCTGGCCCTGTTTTAAAATATAATTGCCCTTTAAACCAACAGTGATAAAGGTGTGTCAGATAAAATGAATCAAATGTAATTGTCGATTTAACAAGAGGGAAGTTATATTTTCATATTTGTTTGGAAATATCTTCCTCTTAATACACAGAATCATCATTTGAAATGTAAATTTTGCATTCACTTACCATAACTTACTATTTTCTATTTTGACTGACATGTCATCGCTGTTGGTCAGTTTGAATGGCTTCTGCGACGTCACGCAAATAAACTTTGTTCTTTTCTTACTTTCTCCCACAACGCCCGGTAATTATTGAGCAATAATGAAACCTTCACTATGTATTTTATCAATGCATTTTTAGACGCGACAGGGATAATTATCAGCGTTATAAATGTAGAAGGAAAAGAGACTAACACATCGTAGAATATATAGGCTACAGACCATATTTGTTAAGATAAATAGCGGCTCAGATAAGACAGCGTATTTACCATTAAGCCATAACATTATGACTATTGACAGGTAACAGCACACACAGCACTAAGATTTTACAGCACAATGTTTTATTCAGAAAAAATGTGACACTATCACCACAAAGATTATTTTACTTTGAAATCCTGTGAAAAGTTGATTGCATTAAAATAAAATAAATATATGACAGCGGCAATCTCCTAGAATACTAACGAGGTATTGACCAGTATAAGATTCAGATAAATGGGAGAATAAACACCACCGTTTCATGACAAAAGGGTTTTTATTTAAAACACAACTCTACACATAAAAACGCTAATTACCACACCTTTACTGGTCAAAGCATTTGCAGCTGATCATAATGTCATGGCTTGAGTGTTTAAATTGGCCTTTCTCTTGAAGCTCTAAATTCAATATTCTAGACATTTTAATATCAATATTTAAAACACAATTTATATTTGAACTTAACTAGTTACTGAAATTCATTTGTCCTACTTTTTATAGTCTGAAGAGATTTCACTTATTTTACTAAATCAGCGCATTAAATAGTTAATTTTTCATGTGTTCTGTTAATATCATGTAATGTTTTAAAAGCCTAGTTATTACAGCCAGATGATATCTGTGAAAAGAGAAGTGGGCTTGTTTCCCCCCCCCCACAAGTTAGAGACTTCTCTGACCTAAATCTGTCGTAGGGGCTCCTAAACCCCTCCTGGGAGAAAAGTTTGAGAAGTTCTTTTTCACCCTGGGATGCAGTTTGATAAACACATTGGTATTCTGCCCCAGTTTAGTTGTCTCCAGAGAAACCGACTGACCTGCGAGGATGCTGCATCCAGCAGATCCATGTTTGGGATGAGACAGCTGGCCTCACCGAGGAAACATATGAGGATGTGGAACACATCGGCCCAGCGTCCCACGGTCAGCATCAAGACCATCAAACCCCCGAGACGCACGACAACTGCGTTGAGGACAGCTTGGCTGCTCGGCAGACGATGCTGTTCTTCTGTCGGGTTAAGAGTTTTAAAATGGGAAATGAACAGGAATGGGTGGGTGTACTCAGCTGCCAAAACATCAAATTGTTTTCATTACTAATGAATAAATGACGACTCTTATTAGGACTTAAATTCTAATAAGTTTAAGTCCGGGAGTGTATTTCTACACAAAAGACATGTTTGCATCATCTTAAACATGGACAAAGCAGTGGCTTCATCGGATACCCTCTAACGGAGAGCTCGACTCGTTTGACAGGATCCTCACCCTGCATGTACACCACCAATAATGTGTAGCAGATAGTCAGCGGTGTCCAGAACCTCAAGGCCTCGGTTGCAGAGAGAAACTGTTGGTTGATGATCGATACGGCTGCCAGCACGGCCACAGAAAAGGCAATAATCATAGTCCTGCAAAGCATGGGCTGCAGATGGCAGCCTGACGTGAGCAGGCTGATGCAAATGCCGCAGTAGCGCTGGGAGCTGTGCAGCTTATACAGAGCAATGACATGATGCAGAAGGGCTGCTGCCTTTTTTGCCAGATACCAACTGAGAGCTGCTGCCAGGAGAAGGCACAGCCAGCGCTGGGATGCCCCCTCGTGGAGAAAGTGCAAACTGCAGCTGATGGCACAGCCCAAGGAGAACTGGCTTTGCACTAACAGCTGCTGCAGAAACTTCCTGGTTTCCTGGGAGGGGAAGAGAAGATGTGATGGATCAACTACACCACACGATAAGAAGTGATGAATAGGTGTGAAATTATGAAACATTGAAATAAACTAAATTAAAGACATCACTGGTATATTTGTATTTGTTGGGCTATGAGAACTTAAAGATGTATCACAAAATTTTGTGGTACAATTCTGATAACAATAAAAGTCACAATAATAGCTATTCATTACCTATTTTCTAGGTCAGTGTATGACTGTGTCTGCATGGCAGAGCAATCAGAGCCCCACAAACACAAATCGTATCCACTCATAACGCTCTTCCTTAGGACACGAGTCACATAAAGACGTGTTATTCATATCTACTGATGCTTTCATTGACAATACGGACAGTTTTGGGGGGTGTTTAAACATCATTAACTGAAATTTATAGTGACAAGAATAAAGCAAACTTCTTATGATAAGAAATTTATGATAAACGATAAATGATATGTTAAATGCAAAACTCTATATTATTGTTTAGCTCTCATTGGGTTACTGCTTGACCTCCCACTTGACGTGCCTTCATTCGGTTTTTCTTTCCAGCTGCAAATGACAGGATCGATCAAATAAAGGACAGAGATAATCTGTAGAAATATCAACGTAGGACTGAAAAACTCTTGCATACGTGTCAGACAATTTCCTTACCTCTCCTCTATCAATAGATGCACTCTGAAGAGTATTGTATTTATTGAGCGTAATGTTTATGTTTCAACATGAAATAGTGTTATTATTTGATTAACTGTCAAACAGTTGAAACACGTTTTAGTTCATTTGTAATATAGAAATGTTATAATTAAATACATGTAAGGTAAATTTAATGATATTACATAAAATACGGTTTATAGGTTAAGGTGTAAAAGGTTAGAACCACTAAGAGTTACTAATGGTATTTTATTTGTATGTTTTATAGCTCTTACGGTGTGTTCATCTACAAAGGCCGTTGAATAAAGAAACGCTACCCATCAGTTTGCGAGACCATAGTTTCAACCGGGACGCTACAGGGTGTCTTGACTCTCTTCCTCTCTGGTGCTGGTTCTTCGGACGATCCTACATCGTGGCACTACGCATGCTCAGCCCGATAATAGAACACACACTTTGAACACAACAGACAGCTATCTTGACGCACAAAGTTTGGAAAAACTGATGTGGCAGCGCAGATCGTCAGAACCGGTTGTGATTATGATGCATTAAATGTTGGTGACGTAGAATGTGACTACGTCACCAACATTCACACTGGATTCATTTGCCAGGACAGAGCAAAGAAAGAAAGATTTTTATTAAGTAGGTGGGTAAAATGGATGAGTTACTGCTTCTTAGAAGATCGAAAAGCTGAGAGAAGCTTTGCATAATCTGGAACTTGAGGCAGAAGACAGAGAAAAGGAACTCCGGAGTGAAATAAAACAGCTTTCAGATGAAACTGCTAAATCGAAACACAAAATATCAATACTAACAACACTGAATGATCATATTATGGAATCCGAAGAAGAAAGAAGAAAGATCCAATGCTCTCTGATCGAAGAAAATTGTGTACTGAAGGTCAAAGTCGCTAGACTGAAGTCGAAGGCAACAGCATTGATAGATTAATGTACGACTTAAAGAAACGCACAAGAGAGTTCTGAGAAAAAGATTTTGTACTTGGAGGAGGAAAACAGAAAACTAAATGCTCAAATAAAACAAAAAAAATCGCATGATAGGTGAAATGTCTTAAGTCACAGAGTCTCAGAGATTCAAATAGGGAGACAAAATGTTGCACACTCCAACAAAAGTGGTGTCGAGAAATGTGGTGGTTGTAAATTTCCTTTACTTCCCTTTTTCTGAACATTCAAAACACATTCATCGATCCGTGCGTTACACTACGGCGTTACACTATTCGCCATCTTTTCTTCTTCTTCGAAACTTAGGACCCTTCCGACCCGAGGCTGCCCTAAGCGCCTGTTCGAAACCGATCACTGTCCAAACTTGTGTCACTCTCAGTCCGAATAGCTACCAACATACATGTGAATATTCTGCTAAACATGGAGAATGAAACAGTGCTTTTTAATAAAACAAAACATTCATAGGAACAAAGAATAGACTCATATTTTAATGGAAGGGGGGGGGGGCCCTGGAAGAGAAATTTCCAGGAGAAATTTGATGCTGTGGGTGAACATACAGAGCTGCTGATAACACCAAACTTTGCAGTTGAAACCCAACAGCAACCTAAAATCTTTACAGCTGAAAAATCAACTCAAACGGAAAATTTGAGCAGTCGTCGTAAGCAGCCAAAAATTTTTGCCAACAAATCTACACAGACTGAGCATTTCATTTCGGAATCAATGGAAAAATCGGCTCGGACTGAATGTGACACTTATAAACTAAAGCAGCTTCAGACTCCATCTAAAACATCTTCTCAAACACAAACTTAAAAAAGCAAACGTAGGCATGTAAGGACTTCTACTAGAAATCCAACTTCAGCTAAAACTTTGACGCATGAATCTAAGCAGCCTAAATCTTTCGCTGAGAAATCACCGGAAATGGAAACTTCTACTAATTCTAAGAGTTGGTGGGGTACGTGTGTGGATGGATTAATATTTGCTGTTAAATATACCCTGCTAGGTATTTTACAAGCAGCGATAACAACAAAGGTTTATGAAATTGAAGCCAATTTCTATTTTTCAGAAACAGAAATTCCTTTTTAAGGAATAGTTCGTAAAATACTATCACTCAAAAAAAAAAATAGTTGAACCAACTTAATTGAATTGCTTCTATGGATAACAAGGACTTTACCCAATTTAGTAATTATAATCATCCAACTCAATTTATTAATTTTTTAAACAAATTTATTAAGTATGTTTAAAATAACAGATTTAAGTCAGTATTACTCAACTCATTTAGTTTACTTCAAAAAATGTAAATGGACTGAACTTGTATAGCAATTTTCTAATAATATTGACCACTGAAAGCGCTTTTAACTAGATTCACATTCACCTATTTGCACTCACAAACACACACACATTTATACATCAACATGTGGCAGGAGGAAACTGGAATCGAACCTACAACCTTCTTATCACAAAACGACTACTCTAGACTGACTTAAATCTGTTATCTTAAACATAACAAATAACATAAACAAAATAAACATAACAAACAAAATAACATAAACATAACATAAATCTCACACACTAGCTTCTAATTCTTCCCTACTAATCTAAGTAGCCTAAATCCTTCACTGAGAAATCACCGGAAATGGAAACTTCTGCTAATTCTAAGAGTTGATGGGGAATGTGTGTGTACAAATTAATATACACAGTGCTGCAGTAGATCTTCCATACATTTGTGCCGACACACATTTGAAATGTCCATAGTTGAATTGTCCAGATATTTGAGATGACAATGTCCAAGCGCAAGTCGTTTCAGATGAAGAGATGAATAGTGGATTGTGTGTCTGCATGGTGAGATGGAGGGGGAAATGATACAGACCACAAGGCTCCTACCAGACCAGTATGGAGTGAATTTCAGGTTCTCCTGGCCCCAGCCAGCTCTCAGAAGCTCGCCATCCTTTAACCCTAATCAAGAGGGTCACCTGGCCAATTAAATTCATAGTTCAGTGCATGACAGCTTCATGGCTCCAAGCTCACTGGATGTTCAGATTTGTAGCTCCGTTGTCTCCAGCTCCCCGCTTCACACCTGACTGGGAAAGCCGGAGCAGGCCTAAATAACTACCTCAGGTGCGTTGATTGGCTGAATGCACTGTGTGACTGTCACTCTAACTAATGGAGCAGAAAAGGCAGGATTAAGGGCAGTTTTTTACCCTGGGTTACACCTGGAAGGCGCACCTCCCATCCTTCCAGCAGGACTGGATCAGGAAAGCTGTTTTCTGCCCAAACACAAAAACAGGGAAGACAGAGCTGAGGCCCCATCCTCAGTTCTGGTGGCATCTTCCTCAGTCCCCAACTGTGTTCACTCAGCCTTCGGCCTCTCCAGATGTCTTCTTCACCCGCCCTTTGTTTCTCTGGATGCCCCTAAAGATGTGGGCCATTCCACTTGTCTGTGTCCAGCCCACCTGCGGCAGCCACAAGCTGACAGCTACCAGCCTGTACCAGACCGTCCGCAGGGTCTTGAATGTAGACGGGTGGTATGAAATAGCCACAGAGTATCTGTATTTAATGCTTCACGAGGATTTTTATTGTTTTATTGGAATAAGGACATGTGAGACTGACCAGAAGCATGTGGCCTCCTGCAGATACTCCTGTAACTTCCATGTCGTGGTGCTGATGCGGGAGAGGAGCCAGGGGAACAGCGTCACACAGCTGTACAACAAGCTGATGGAGCACTGAAAAAAATAACTCTTTGGATTAACATAAAAAAATCATGGAAAGATTTTCCACCTGATTACTTTGCTTTATTNAGCCTGACGTGAGCAGGCTGATGCAAATGCCGCAGTAGCGCTGGGAGCTGTGCAGCTTATACAGAGCAATGACATGATGCAGAAGGGCTGCTGCCTTTTTTGCCAGATACCAACTGAGAGCTGCTGCCAGGAGAAGGCACAGCCAGCGCTGGGATGCCCCCTCGTGGAGAAAGTGCAAACTGCAGCTGATGGCACAGCCCAAGGAGAACTGGCTTTGCACTAACAGCTGCTGCAGAAACTTCCTGGTTTCCTGGGAGGGGAAGAGAAGATGTGATGGATCAACTACACCACACGATAAGAAGTGATGAATAGGTGTGAAATTATGAAACATTGAAATAAACTAAGTTAAAGACATCACTGGTACATTTGTATTTGTTGGGCTATGAGAACTTAAAGTTGTATCACAAAATTTTGTGGTACAATTCTGATAACGAACAATAAAGTCACAATAATAGCTATTTATTACCTATTTTCTAGGTCAGTGTATGACTGTGTCTGCATGGCAGAGCAATCAGAGCCCCACAAACACAAAATCGTATCCACTCATAACGCTCTTCCTTAGGACACGAGTCACATAAAGACGTGTTATTCATATCTACTGATGCTTTCATTGACAATACGGACAGTTTTGGGGGTGTTTAAACATCATTAACTGAAATTTATAGTGACAAGAATAAAGCAGACTTCTTATGATAAGAAATTTATGATAAACGATAAATGATATGTTAAATGCAAAACCCTATATTGGTGCAACTATTAAGTTAAAAGATATCAAGTTAAACAATTAGGCGACTTATACATTGCTACAATTTTACTTCTACTTAAAATGTTTCATTCCATCTTATAAATATACATATGATATTAAAGATATACAAAAATGTGGTCACTGTCTTTGAGCTCTAGTGTGCACTACATATTTTCTGAAATGCAATCATTGCTTTACGTAAGAGTATATTTTAAGTGATACACCAACACAAAGTAGTTTGCTCTGACTTTTACAAAAGTTCAAACTATCATCCAAAGAAAATCTGTTAACACTTTATTTGAAGGGGTGTGCATAAGACTGACATGACACTGTCATAAACATGACATAACATCTGTCATGAACATAAAGAAGTCTTTATGAATGTTTATGACAGTTGTCATGAAGTGTCGTTTGGTAAATAATGACACTTTTAATGCAAAGTTGCTCTAAAAGTTGCATTGAAAGTTCATTAAAAATGCCAACTTTCATTAAATTATCATAATTTACAAAATCATGCAAAGAAGCGTGTATAACATGAAGCAAAGATCAGAGCTGGAAAAACTGACATGACGGATCCCAAAACACCGTCCCAAGCAAAGCTGACAGTGCTGCATCTTTGTGGACCAAACACAATCCAGGTTTGACAGGCGTCACTTGGTTCTGTCACTTTACTGCCGATACCTTACCGGTCCAGCTGTGAGTAGTCCAGAGACGGCTCGCAGGCAGAATTCCAGTACCACCAGTGACGCCACGCGGGACCCCACAACGGCCAGTATCCCAGTCACAAAGAGAAACTGGAGCATTCCAAAAAGTCCATGTTTAGCTCTCATTGGGTTACTGCTTGACCTCCCACTTGACGTGCCTTCATTCAGTTTTTCTTTCCAGCTGCAAATGAGAGGATCGATCAAATAAAGGACAGAGATAATCTGTAGAAATATCAACGTAGGACTGAAAAACTCTTGCATACGTGTCAGACAATTTCCTTACCTCTCCTCTATCAATAGATGTACTCTGAAGAGGGAGCAGAGCACAGAAATCCCACATGCTCCCACCAGCCCTGCAAGTCACCCAACAATTTCTTTAAATCACAAATGTTGGTAAGCAGATTGAGAGATATTTTAATAATGCGTGAACAAAAACAAAAGTAGAAAGTGGGAAAAGCCGCTGAACTTAAAGATATATAAAATTACTATATAAAGATTTAAAATCATCTCAATGTGCGCGTTTGAAAAGAAAACGAGGCTGTTATTTCAATCATTCTCAAAAAGTTTAGCTGTCCAATTTAACGTTAATGGCCTTAACGGATATTTGATAGAGATATCCAGAATTCAATTCTTCCCAGATAAATGAACATTCTGGATATATTGAAAGCTAAATGTTTGTTTATTGATTTTTTTTTTTTTACTTTGATAATCAGCTGATCATTTTATGGTAAACTGCCTTGCCATATCATAACAGCATGGCTTTTAGTTTGGACATATTTTTGTCTGTCACTGACAGAAACAGTCAGTCTATAATACTCTTCCCAAACTACACATATTTATGACATTTAACACATAATTCAAATAATTTTGCACCCTGCTTGTTTCTCGAGTCCCTGTTGATGACAAAAGTATGGGCAATCTGCTGCTCCAACCTGGCCTGTCAAATATTCTTTTATTCCAAAATAAAAAAAATGAATAAATCAATGAATGAGGAGCTTACCTTGAAGTAAACCAATCAGAGGGTTTATGTCCAGTATCAGCCATCCTGGTAGAAGGTAGGAAGTCGGCAAAAATGAGGTGAGAAAGGAAAACATTTTTTAAAAAGCTTACAGAAATACATGGAGGATACGCTTAATAAATAATTTCACACTTTTGAGTCATGTATTATGCTTCTCAGATCGGATTTTTAAAAAACGTGTTGGAGTTGCTGCTCTTTATTTCCTGTTGCCTCGGCGTTGAGCTTTGCTCAACCCAAACCCTGCTCTGTGTCTCGTACCAAAGGTCGTCAGAGGACCGCTGGCGCTGTTTGAGTCAGAACAAGATAATAGAGGTTATTGCACCAGTCCACAAGATAGATATTTACTTCTCATTCATTTTTCAAATAAGTCATACAATCAACTTCTATTCACATATTAAGCTTATGTAAATGCACAAAATTTGAATGGCAATGGCAACAGAATCTGTCTAACATCCTGTAAAAAAAAAAAAAAAGCCCTCATCTATCCATACTTTGCACATCCTAAATTTAAAAAGTACTTTAAGACATTAGGGGAAAAAAAGCATAATCCTGAAAAACAAAAACTGGAAACTATAAATGAGTCATTTAACCTGCAGACATTGGTACTATGGCAGGGGTGTCAAACTCATTTTGGTTTAGGGGCCGCATACAGCTTAATCTGATCTGCAGGGGGCCACACAAGAAAACTCATTGCAAGATTAAATAGAACCAATAAAAGTGGACTTGTTGTTGATTTTTATATTAAGCGAATTTCACTTTTACAAAATATATTATGAATAATCTCAGTTTTTAAGAAAGGTATCTGCAATTTCAACAATACTTTTACTTAGTTAAGCATTTATTTAAGTGCATTATGCATAAGAACTGATCTCAGTGATTGTACAATGTTTCAAAACATTTATTCACAGTTTTTGGAACTTAAAAACATTGTCCTGCATCACAAAATACAACAGACAAAAATTAAGAAAAGATTTAAAATAAATTTTCAACATCTGGGAAGCAATTTGAACAAATTATCTGGCTTCACACATTTGAAATCTGAAGTGTCAGCTGTTTTAAACAGACATTTGATTAAGTACATTTGTTGATGCATAAAATGCATATAGAAAAACTTGCATACATAACATGTATGTATGTTAGCATGCACGAGAAATATGAGGTTACCAGGGCCAAAATAAAAAGCTGGTAAAGCATAGAATCGAACTTGTTTACAGAACCTGAAGCTCAGTGCTGCCATCTGCTGTTAGTTCCTCTGCAGTGTTGCATCATGTTGTGTGCTCTGAATAAAACACACCGCCCCTCGTGGACAGTATAGGAACTGCAGATTTTCAATTAAACGAAGTATATGTTTTTTCATGAATAATGATAATGCATTTAGCCCCGGGGCCGGACTAAATCGTTCGGCGGGCCGGTTCCGGCCCGCGGGCCGTACGTTTGACACCCCTGATGGCATTCATGGCAATATAAGATATGTACATGTGGCTTTTTTGAAGGTTTTTTTCTCCATGCTTGTCCATTTCTGGACCTGTGATGGTTGAACTTGTTAATCTGGGATTTCTGGAACAGACTCCAGTCTCCCTTCAACCTTAAACAGGATTAAGCAGGTATATAAAATGATGTGCAGTGATTTGAGAGTCTGTAAACCAAGGAATAGAGAAGAAAAACTATGAGGATGAGGTATAGAGACATTACAGTGAATCATAATAAACATTAGGGAAAATATTTGTTGCTGGAATAGAATAGAATAACTTCAGAGAAGTTGGACCCCGTCACCTTCTTCAAATTACACAAAATTGGTGTCAAACGTTTGTGCTGCTATCATTTTAAAGGTAAATGTTTCCTGAGATCATCAAAGATCAACCATATGCACCTAAAAGAATGAAGAAGCCACTCAGTTTGATAGCAACAGACTTATATTATGCAGGAACATGAATTATTTGTTTTGGTAAAATTAAAGATTATTTCCACTATGATCATTGTTCATAGGGTTTGATCTCATCTAATGACTTGATGATCGATCTGTCCAAGAACTTTGCCATAAATAAAGAACAAGATGCTTTTTTATTGCAAATTATTTCAGAACAATGGAATTTCAACACATCATGATTTGGCAACACATGAATACATAGGCACTTCTTGAAGCCAATTAATCCAAGTTCTGGTTTTGACATGAAAATCATGATAAATTCATGGTGTAATTTTTTAATGAACAACAGAGTTAAAAACTGTTCATTAAACAGTGAGACAGAACCAAACAGTACTTTTACAAAAACAAAAAACAAACCAAAACAAAAAATAACAAGCATGTGGAAGACATTTTAAATAGAGATGTGCCGATCAGGTTTTTTCCTGCCGATTCCAATTCCGATCACCCATATGAGGGTCGATCACGGCCCATCACCGATACCGATCACATAATTATTATTATTTTTTTATCATAAACACTACCGGTTGACTGCAGCGGCAGCCAGACCTGCTTTAAATACACTTTGAAACCACGACAACGCATGTATATTTATCTAGTTATCATATTATAGACAATTTAATGACTTATTTTCATCATAACTTGTTGCTTATGCTGAACTGACAACTACACTGACAGTCGGACTTCTTAATACGCATGCACGGGCATGCGTACTAACTGCATGTATGCTATCCTGCACATAGACATAATATAAGGAATTATATATGTCTATGATCCTGCATGTATGCTATAATTATGTTTCGCTGTTCTATCTGATAGAACAACGAAGCTCCGTCTGTGAAATATTACTACCTGTAGCGTAGCAGCGGTTTAACAGCGAGAGCAGAACCGAGCGTCTTACATCGCAGCTCGAAAACTTTTTTTTTGCGGGTTATTTGTTTAGCTTTCTGACCTTGATGCTAATCCTGGTGAGTGTTTGTAGCTGTGCGCTGCTTTACCTGCTATCTGATCGCTCCGTATGTCTTTTTTACTGCAGTGAGCCTCGATAAAGCCAAACTCCGTCAAGTATGGCAATGTTTTTACGTCATATTAGATTCGTCATGTTGATGCATTTTGACCGGCCGTGATCTGTGATCACTGATCATACACTTTTTCACGGAGTGTAGATGACTTTATTAATACATACATATATGTATATTTATTTTTTTATGTTGTTGTTTCCTCTCATTTAACCAAGAGTTATTTGTTACCTTTCGACCGATGCTTTTAATTTGAATAGGTTTTTAAAGGGACCAGGTTGCTAAGTGACCTACACAAACTTCTAACAATAACTGACAATGAACTGTCTTGGACATAGTGCAGAGAATAAGAGAGTCACAGTTAAAGGGAGATAACTAAGGAAAAGTCCAACTAAGGTCTAAACAATTAATTAGTTAGCGCTTGGTTGATGAGGGAACAATGTGAGTGTTTTGACGAGAGAATTGTATTTATTGAGCCTAATGTT